TTTTTTTTTTTTGCCCTGTGCACCTGCTGCCTTATTCATGCTTCACCACTGCTGTTAGGAAAATATATTTGATGCAGGAGAATGACTTCCTTCCAGACCTTTGCACTGGTATTGGTTATACATTTATTTAAACGCAAAGAGAGACTGCAGAGTGGAAGCTGTCGTGATCAGTGTCCTTTCCAGAGGAAAAAGCCATTGATTCACACTCAGGAATTAAGCTCTTGCGGACTCATTATGACTACTTAAACCTGCACTGAGCTCATGTTTGGAAATTCATATGATACGGAAACAAAGCCCAATATCAAATTCCAAAGGCATGTTACCTGGTTTAATCATACCTGCATACATACTTAGTCATAAGTCTAAGTATACACACACAAAAGTGCTGAAAGTGCATGTTTTGGAAAAATGAAATAGGGCCAAGGATTTAGCTCAGTGGTGCCACGCCTGCCTGGCAAGCGCAAGGTCCTGAGTTCAATCTCCAGCACTGGAAACAAAATTTAATAAAAGAAAAATGAAATAGCGACACTGAAATGAGTTCAGTGAAGGGTTGTTTTTTAATAAGAGATAGAGAAGAACACTGCAAACAGTCCACAGATTCTCACTGAACTCATACTCACATGTATACATTCTCACATGAAAACTCTTCTTCTAAAAAAAATAATTGAATGAGGGAAGCCACCGAAAACCTGAGCTAAGCCTAGAGTGCACATGAAGTTTACAAAGTGTTGCTGTTTAATTATTCTAACTCACCTTCTCATTATCCAAGGTGGCATAGAAGCAAAGGCAAAATGGGCCAGGGATTTAGCTCAGTGGTTCTGCTGTGCCTGCCTCACAAGCACAAGTCTGGAGTTTGATCCCCGGTGGTGGGGGGGAGAAAGAAAGAAAATGTCCTCCTCTAAAGTCTCAGGTGTTCAGAGGTGAGACTTTTGGAAGCCATGATTGGCTCACAAGGGATCTAATTTCATTAGTGAATTAATCCATTGATAAAACCATAGTCTGATGGCATCGCTAGGAGGGGATGGCAATGGAGAAGATGGGGCCCGTGAAGGGAGTGGGTCCAGGGGTGTGACTTTGGGGACTGTGTTTTGTCCCTGGCCCTTCTTGGTGGCTGTTTCCCTCTCCTCTCTCTCTCTCCTTCCTGATTGCCGTGGGATGAACAGTTTTACTCACCTTGCCCCTCCTCCATAACGTTCCTGCCTTGTCACAGGCCTAGAAGCAATAGATTTTCTGATGTAGATATGTAAAATGAGGATAATTATGGCAACCACACAGGGATTTTTTGGCAATGTATTTTAAAATTTACATTTATATATTTATATTTATATGCCATAAAATTCAGTGGTTTTAAAACCTTCACAAGGTTGTATAACTATTGCCTCTAATTCCAGAATATTTTTATCGCCTCAAAAATTAGCAGTTACTCCCCACTTTTCCTCTCCACAGTCCCTGCTTTACTTTCTGTCACTATAGAATTTTCTGTACTTAACATTTTAAGACTCACGTAATATAAGACTGTTTGTGTCTGACTTCTTTCACTTAGAGTGATTTTTCAAGATTTATTCACAGGGCCGCATATCAGTACTTCAATCCTCTTATTTGCTCAATATTATTCCATTATATGGAAATGCAATATTTTATTTATTAGTCCATAGAAATTTGAGTTGCCTTCTTTTTTTTGATGTTATGAATAAAGCTATCATTAATATTAGCATATAAACTTTTCCGTTGCCCCTATGTCCTCAATTCTTGTAAGTATATAACTATGAGTGAAATTGCTGGGTTATATAAGCTCGGTTTTTTTTCTTTTCTGTCTTGCTTTTTTTGGTGGGTGGGGGTCTTGTTTATTATCTCTACCTGTTGCTTGTTTATTGCTTTGTTGCAATAGTAGGTGTTGAATCCAGGGGCATACACATGGTAGCCTTGTGCTCTACCGCTGAGCTACATCCCTATCTTTTACTGTAGACAGGTTCTCATTAAGTTGCCCAAGCTGGCCTTGAACTTGAGATCCTCCTACCTCAACCTCCTGAGAAGCTGGAATTACAGGCTGTGCCACTGCATTCAGCTGGATTGTACAAGATTTTGTAAGGATTAAATGAGAAAATGCATAGAAAGTATTATTGTGCCTACCACATAGTAAGCATTCAATTAAACACAAACTATTATTAAGGATTAGAACGTTCAATAAATATTCAACTCATTAGATAAAAATGAATTGAAAGAGATTGAATTAGATCATCCAATAAAGATATTAAACTATACGATGTAAGAACGCCCCTCTCTCACTCTGAACATCTACAATGTTTTGTTGAGAAGCAAAATATTAACAACGATTTAAATATGGATATCCAAGTTCCAAAACAAGAAATCAGAATCTCCAGGGGCTCACTGAGGGCTGCACGGCAAATAACGAGTGGAACAGCAGATGCCATGGCAGCAGGTGAATTTAGGGCCTGAGACTTTAATCCACAGAAAATTGGACTGGAAGCTCATGGTAGCAAAAGGTTGGAACAGTTCAGCTCAGCACGTCGCAGGCCCTGTGTGGATGGCGTCAGGAGTGTGAAGTTAACAACCTAGGTCACTGCACAGGCACCACCCCTCCTCTGCCCATCCCCCCCCCAGAGGATGAAATTCTCAAGCCCAGGGCCAAAGGTAAAAATCTGCACAGAAGCAGTGAACACCAGGGAGCCCCAGGGAAGATGGCCAGAAACCAACTCCTGAGGGCACTACAGCCTGAGATTAAATGGGACAGGCACAGTGATGGTCACCTCCGAAGAGGTGCTCACAACCAACAAGGACCAGGGAGAGCATGAGGAGTCACTCACAAGAAAGAAACCAGGCAAAGAAAGAAGTAAATATCAGAGGTGGAAGAAGAAAATTTCTAGAACATTTTCAGAAAAGAACAAGCAGGAAAGGAGTTAAGGGAATGCATTGAATTATTATAATACATTAATTTAGCCTGGATTTAACTATTATTTAAGCTGTATTAGACATATTGTCTAATAATAGAAAAAAATTGAAGGAAATATATGTGAATTTTCCAGTGAATTTTTAAAGTTGTTCCAAACTTATTTCAAAATATTATTTTTCAACTTCTTTTTTCTTTTTATTCTATTTTTTTTTTTTCTTTGAGACAGGGTCTCACTCACTATGTAGTTGAGACTGACCTTGAACTTACTATGTAGCCCAGGCTGGTCTTGAACTCACAGCGATCCTCCTGCCTCAGACTCCTGAGTGCTAGGATTACAGGCGTGCACCACCATGCCTGGCTATTTTCTTTTCTTTTTTAATTATTTAACAGTTTACCCCGAGCATCACTTGGGCAGCTCATTTGTTTACTTACTGACTTCCCCAGCTTTGCTCAGGCAGACATCATTTCAACTAGCCAATTCTTGTATTGAATAAATTTGATTAAACTGTTGTTTTTATATTTCCTGTTATATTATGAAAAAATATGTAATTTTTGGTCATGCTCTATTTAAATAGTTGGACTGATAAGTGGTTAATATGTTTTTATGAGTGAGTGCCTATTAATTTTAAAAAATACTGCTTGGATATGCGACTTTTATGCATGTATATATTGTGACCTAAACTCACATAGTTATGTGATAATGGCTTACATTACAATAAAAAGTAAGACACTTACCTGAATAAACAAACGTCTGTAATCTGTAACAGGAAAGCTGCAAATGGGATGGCTGGGGATTTAGCTCTGCCTGCCTCACAAGTGCAAGGTCCTGAGTTGAATCCTAGGTACCGGTTTAAAAAAAAAAAAAAAAACTACAAATGGGAGAGGCAGCACTGTGTCTTAATCCTTCTTTTGCAGGCTGTATTAGTCAGCTTTCCCACTGCTGAGACATAAAGCCCTACACACACCCTGAAGAATGAGAGGTTTCATTCACGAGTTGGAGGAATTCAGTCCATGGCCGGCAGGCTCCAGTGCAGGAAGATGGGAGCAGAAGAGCACGGTGGTGTTCATGGTAGCCAGCAAGCAGAGATGGGGAACATAAAGAGAGGAACCACACGTGGCATCCAAGGAGACCCCTCCGTGCACTAAAGACTCATCCTGAACTCTGTTAATCTGCAAAGCATTTCATAACCCACTGAAATTCAGGTATCGACATGGATGGTCACATAGACTAAAGGTAATCTTGAAAATGAAAGCAAACTAAAACTATTCGTACTTGGTAATGTGACTAACAGAGGATGTGGAGCCCGACTTACCGAGCGTGGGAATGAACACTGTAGAGTCAGATCCCAGGACATAAACAAGAGCCAGGTAGCTCCTCTGTGATGCCATCTATTGGGAGGCTGACTCTGGGGACCATGGGAGGCCAGGCTGCTCAACATTGCAACACCCCTTCGCAACACAGAAACAACTTTGCAGGTGGTGGTGCAGGCCCGTGATCCTAGCATTCTGAGGCACGAGGCTGGAGAAGGTGAGTGTGGCCTGGCCAAATTACAGGACCTTATGTCCAAATAAGAAACGGAAAAGGGGTTGGGGTGCAGCACAGTGTAAGTATCCTCATTTCACACACACACACACACACACACACACACACACACACACACACACACAGTAGGGACCTACATAATATAGCATTTATTCATTTTGTCGTATTTTTTTCTTTTCCCTTATTCCCTTTCCCCTACCCTTCCCATTTTCCCTACACCTTTAGCCCTTTTCTTACTATTTCACATGGTCAATTATCCTGTTAGGCTCTTACGTACTATTATAGTTTTTCACACCAGAGAAAGAAACTATTCAACATTTACACATGTGTGACTTATTTATTTCACTTAGGAGTATATCCTCAGTACACATCCATTTTCCTATGAATGAATCTAATTTCTCATTCTTTATGGCTGAGTAGTATTCCATTTTATAGAAAAACCACATCTTCTTTATCCAGTTTCCAACTGGTGGGAAAATGGGCTGTTTCCAAGTTTTAGCTATTACAAACTGTGCCGCTATAAACATGGGTGCACATATATCACTGTGGTATGATTCTTTTAGTTCTTTTGGTGTTTGTAAATGGGGAGGGGAAGCGGGGTGAAGAGAGAGCACGAACAAGGGGAAAAAATGAGAACCAAGACTTGTCATGTAAAGGTACAAGATCCCAATAATAATAAATGTAATTGTACTGTATACCTAAAATGTACCAGTAAACTCAATAAAAAAAAAAACAGTTTCAGAGTACATAATATAGCATTTATATTTAGCACAAGTAACTGAAGTTTAAACATCACATTTGCTTCATGCCAAAGAAGTAGCAGGGAGCAGCTCAAGGCTGCTGTGCGATTTCAACAGGCTTTTTCCGTTTTTTGTATCCACCATCCTTAGGTCTTTGTCTTTGTGCTTTTCACCTCTTTCTTGCAAGATGGTTGCTGCCTTGCCTGATATTACATCTGTACTCCCCATGGGGAGAAAATGAAAGGGAGAAGTAGAAAGGGGCTGTGTGTTGGAAAAATAAGAACTTTCACAGCAGTGCTCCACTTATATCCTATAGAATAGGACAGGGATGTATGGTACCTTTGGGTGCAACACAGTCTATTTAAGCACATGTTTTTAATTTGACATACTGCACAAAACTAGGCTGGGTTTTCCCCCCTCTGGCAGGGCTAAGGATTAAATCCAGGGCCTCTACCATGCTAGCAAGCATTCTACACTGAGCTACATCCACAGCCAAATAGATAAATAAGAAAAGGGGATGCAAATGTATGTGATGGATTTAGGGATAGTCTCAGCCTTTGGTCAAAAAGAACTAAAATTGTCAGGACCCCAATTTCTCTACTGATACAGTCCTGCTCCCACCTACTGGATAGTCATGAACCACTACATTAATGTAGAAACAGCACGAGATAAAAATAAATATAAGAACTTTTCACTCCTCTCAATGAGCTCATAATTGATCTTTTCCCCAAAAGCTAAAGCTCACAGACGTCACTCTCAAAGTCTGAGAAGCCTTTAGTTACAACTCAGGTGTCCCTGAAGAATGAACAGGAAGGGAGGTGCTCCTTTTAGAAAGCCAGCCTGTCACCCCTGTGGCGAGCTACCTGCTGCCCCACTCCCAGTGTCCTCTGGTCTGAATAAACGCTTGTCTTTTCCAGATGTATTCATTGACTATTGGTAAATTCCTCACTGCCAGCATCACCGGCCCTCTCTCTCCCAGGGCAAGCCTCATATGACATTATGGCCATGTTAATCGTTAAACTGAGAAAGTTACAGAATAACTACAATGACAAAGTGATTTTGGACAAATACCTGTTCACATTAATTTTTGTTAAGGCCTTACTATTTATGGGAAGAAGTAAGCTAAAACACTCTTAATATTTTTTTTCTCATTTTACACAGGTCTAATTTTTTTTTTTTTCTTTTTCGTACCTGTGATCGAACTCTGGACCTTGTGCTTGCAAGACAGGCTGCGGCACCACTGAGCTAAATCTCTAGCCCAGGTCCAATTTTCTTATCCATAATTACAAAATGCAAAAATAAAATAAACAAAACTGTGAAAACAGATCATTTTTGTACGAGTTTTATGACAAAAACTTCATGTGACCTGACAAAGAGGCTACTGACAGTCATTGTTCATATGACTTCATGTGAACACTTATTTTATACATTATAGAAGTATTAATGTGTGATTGCAGCATGCTGCCTTGATTCTTCTTGGAATATTACACAATAAGCCATATCATCAAACTTTCAACATCTCTAAGCCTACTGCTGGAATAGGAAATTGTAAAATGTACTTACCAAATAGACCTTCATGTAACTACAGCTGGAAAAAAGTCTAGGGATAAGCACATATATAACTGTGAATTAACACAGGCAGAATTTTTTTTTTTTTTTTGTACTGGGGATCGAACTTGGGACCTTGCACTTACAAGGCAGGTGACGGCACCACTGAGCTAAATCCCCGCTCTGGCAGACTTTTTTTTTTTAAAGCTTCCAGATTGTGAGAATCTGGAGGAAGATGAAACAAATATCTGACTGCTTAAATGGCTGGTTGCATAAATTTGAATAATTTAAACCATTTATATAAATTAGTCACTAAGAATGAAAGCATCGAATGTTCTGTAGCCATTACATATTTCTGAATGCTGAACTAGTCCCAGAGCTAGCTCTGAGAATATCATTGACCATGGGCTGAGTTTAATATTTGTCCTCTAGATTGTGCAGAATAACACAAGGGCAGAGAGTGAATCACAGGCTCAAGAAGTCTTTGCTTTTGTCTGCCTGTTTCTCTGGGGTGATCCTCGACCTGGAAATATTTAAGCAGATACTTAGCGTGCCAGTGCATGTGAGAGCTAAACATCCTACCACTACTTTGTGTACTTTGCGTGTTTTCTGCTAAAACATGCATTTCAACAGTAAGTAATAGCTAAATATTTGGTGTATTCAATATCCATGGTGTATAAGCACTACCTTACAAAGAATTATATAGCATAGTCCTGTACTGCAAGGTTCAAAACTCCAAGAAACGAACCTTGCTTCAGTTCTTCTCAAACTGTGCATCACATAAGGGACTAATCCAGAGGTCGGCTGATGCATTCCTGCTCACATGCTAAGGTAGACACAAATCCTGGGCTGGGGTGGGGGTAGGGGCTGCTACTCATCTGTGTGTGTCGAATCAGGCCTGGCACTGGCCGAGAGTCCTGCACATCCCCCAAGATAGTAGTGATGCAGATGCCAACTGGTGGGCCACTCGCTGAGTAGCAAGGCCTTACCACTTCTTCCCACCTTAAGTTTTCATACCTTCTGTAAAAAGTTTCACAGGACATAACTGTGAAGCAGACTATGGAAACAACAGTACCATAACCTGCTGCTGGTGGTGACCTCGAGGGGCACACATCTCAGGGAACACAAAGTCTTGGGTAGCTCGTGTGCTTCGGAAATCCAGCCAGCTGGCCAAGAGCACGGTGACCAGTATAACTGAGATGTGGGCGAAAACCTCCAAAGACGAGAAGCCTTTGCTCTGCCACGTACTCAGAACATGGCTATGCTCATGCCAAGATGCAATTCTGAAGGACCCAGGTAACATCTTGGGTCTACTACTTACAAGGAACATTTAGACCCATAAACAAACAAGGTGTTAGCTAGCCAACAGGACATTAAAAAACAAATTGGTGAACTCCATAGCAATCAAGAAGGACAAAAGGGGATTCAGAGAGCACAGTTTCTATGGGGCCTATTATACCAGACAGAATCTTTAAATCTTTTTACTCAAGCTTGTGTTTTTTATGTAGCAAAAGAAATCTCCAAAAAAGAATTGTTCACATGCTATTCAGCTATGAAATCATCTAAGGCTCCCTGTACCTATAGAGAAGTAGACATATTGACTCCTTTTAGTGTACAATGCTATGAATCTTTATAAGTGCATACAACTGTGTAACCACAACTACGATCAAGAAAAAGAACATTTTATCATACTAAAAATCTTCTCCTGTTCCTACCTAGTCAATCCTTTCTGTACCTCCCAGAGCCTTGACTCACACCCCAAGTTCTATTCCCGTAGTTTTCCTATTTTCAAATGTCATAAATGGAATCATATGTCATGCAGCCTTTGAGTCTGTTTCTTCTGCTTCTCAGTGCTTTTAACCTAGCAAGTATTGGTGCCTGGTTGTGCATCTGGGGCCTCAGGGATTGGTTTCTTTTTATTATTGAACAATATTCATTGCTGAACGATCCTGGAGCTGGTGACAAAGGCAAAACTACATCTTCGTGTGCTGATCCTTTTGTATTCTGTGAATATTTTATGAGAACATTCAAGTAATAAAAATATTTAAATTGAGTATATTAAAACAGAATTATTAAGTGTGAAGATTCTATTTATACTAGGCAAAATTTATTATAGTTTTTACTGAACTGGCTTTAATACAAGTAAATTCATTCATAATGTTTTCAAAATCCTCCTCTTTAGTTATCTCATTTTCTTTTGTGCAATACCAGTGTGACTGCTGTTGCTAAAACAATGATCCAGGCTGGAGACAGAACTCAATGGTAGGCTCTGAGTTTTAGTCCTGGTACAACAAAAAATAAAAAATGATCCAGGCTACTTCCAAATTTCAATCAGATTACACTAAGAAAAATATCTAAAACAGTTTCAGAAATCCAAACACAATACTGACTTTATAAATTATGTTATTTACATTGCAAACTGCTTACCACCCTTACAAGATAGTCTGTGGAGCTTGAATTGGCAAAATAGTCAAAAGCCACGTCAGTGACTAATTTTTTGTAAACCAAATGTAGTAACAGAAAATAATTTTTCTATTGAAAATGCTTCATCTATTTTTTTTTTTCTTGCACTGGGGGATTGAACTTAGGTCAAGGCACTTGTGAGGCAGGCAGCAGAACCACTGAGTTAAATCCTCAGCCCCTCTAATTTTTTATATATCAATTTCAAATGTGCAATTATGATTGTACAATCCACATAATTTTATTTGACATGTACTTTTCCTGTAATAATTGATAGTCTTGTGCAGTTATTTGTAGATTTCCAATTTCTCAGTATTTCTTTTTCATTTATTTACAAATTCTTCGAGTGTTTTTATGTC